TTATTTTTTATTTATATTTCTACATATTTGAGCGAACATGACAAAGAATAGTCCCGCTGTTCCGTTTTCCCTGTATGACTTCATCAGGCTATTCTCCTGAACGCGAGGTGCCAAGTCTCAGACGCTCATAAGTTTTTGTTATGCAAAATTGGTATAATGAGAAAGTTGTAAAGCATTGACATCTACAAGATCAGTGGTGTGAAGCATATTCTACATTCTCTTGGAAAGCTTTAAAATGGAAAGCTCTCTTCTGCCAGAATTCACCTTTAGGACTCTAAAATGATCGCCTGTGGCGAGAAGTCGTAGTGGTGGTTAAAAGTCTGTCCTCCCTGATCACTTTGCCATGCCTTTATATCCTTGTATATTTTGTGACTGGTACTTGAGTTACAACCCCATCCCGCTTCCGTAGGCCAAATACGACTCTACCGTTGATTTGTCCGCAATGGGCGGTTGACCTGAATCTCTTAAGATTTTAAGTTTTCTAAGTCACTTACACATGCACATGCTTTGGAGATCAGATTAACAGGAAGGGCTTGAGTGTAAAAAGTCCTCCGGAGGCTTTTCAGAGCCACATTGTAAGTGCCAGAAAGCGTAGGTCAAAGCAGGGTGTTAAAAGGGAAAGCGAAACACCTTGCATCGATTCGTCAATGGTGTAGCGTTTGCGGTTCGCGTGCTAATCCTCTTATGCCTATACATGACGTGATCATCCGGACTTCCTAGTGAGTTCGAACTCACTTCAACTTCTGACGGAGAATCTTGTTTCCATAGGTCCTTTACGCGTGGTTGAAGGAACTTCATTTGAAAGCCTTCACCAGGTTATCACGAGCTCATGGTCAAATAGGAGTAGCAGCTAAGGCCACTCTACTACCGTTCCAGATTTCATTTCCTCGCATTGTGAAAGTGCCCAATGCAAAGGCAATAGGGAATAAAATGTCAAGGAAGTGCAGGATAGCCGTTAGGAATGTGATTAACTGCTCTTACCAACAGTTTGTCATTTTTGGAGCACTGAGGATTGGCTAATAGGTGGGACCAGCGTGGTACCCAGAGATGATGAAGAGGTCTAAGAGATCTGAGCAGAGAATGCTCAAGACCAACTGTTAGCCGCAACCGTTTTCGTATTGTATTCAAAAAGCAATTCAAACCAATCTTGTTTTTGCAACCACAAAGTCTTCTGAATCTTAAACTGCTCACATGGGAAGCTCTGTTGGGCGTGCGCATTCGATAAAGAGACGGGAGATGCAGGAAGCATGCGTGCGCAATTCAGAGATTTGGCTAACTTGACGAAAAATTGGTGTATGATTGATTTCTGTAGATTGTTGCTCGATTGCTCTTCCCAGTTTCCACTTACGGCAGTGGCTTGTGAATTCGCGACCTTAAATTTAGATTGAATATCAATTTCATGGTCAAGTCACCCATCTGTCCGATAATGAACTCGCAGAAGATTCTGGGAAAGTGATTGTAAACGTGTCAGAGTAATAATGAGCGCTAGACTACACGTTGCGACGGCACACCACTTTAGGATCGTTAAGTGCTCTGCGAAACTCTATATAGAGAGTCAAAAGGGTCACTGGACGGAAAGTCAAGTGATGGGCGGATTAGAAAATAGTGGCATGAACACAGATGTACTCCTAAGATGAGACCTATGATAAGTGAAGGCTTCTCCCTGCATAGCTGGTCAATCGGAGCTAGTAAGTAGTGCATCTGCAGTTGTGCTTGCCCTACAGAGATCATTGTGAAGCGGAACACCCACTATAACGGTGATATGACTTCAAGTAGGGCATTTGAATGGATTGGTTTTTTCGGAAACGAGATCATGTGGTCCTTGATTAAGTATGTGTATAATGGCTTTCACATACGTCTCAGAATAGCTGTATTATTTCATCCTTTCACACCTTTTTCTAACCTTTATGTTCAATTTTCACTGTAGGTCACTTTTGTGATCATTTTGCTTTTCCTTTTCCCCTGTCTTTGCCTCGCTCATTTTTCCTTTGCTTTTCATTCCATTTTGTAGGTTGTGGTCAGTTTTGATCGTTTTTCTTTTCGTTTCCTTTTCTTTTGCTCTGATTTCTTCTTGTCGCCTTGTAACTTTTTACAACAGTGGTTACACTAGCAACTAAACAACACAATTACATCATATAACAAGGAGGGAGTCTCCAGAAAAAAGCCGTTTCTCAGTGTGAAATCTTTTTGTTCTGAAGACTCCCTCAGAAAACAGAATGGTCCCCAATAATACATAGCATCAAGTGCAATACATTGTATGATGCATTCCATAATCATTGCGGGAAATACTCAATTGTCATTCGCCATCGCGCATGACGTATACCATGAAACTATACGTATATATGCCAACTTTTTACAGTGCATTTTAGATGTACATTAGCTCAACTGTATTTAGTGTACTGATAAGACGATATGTCGCAGTATGGAGCGATGCGAGTTGTCGTCAGTCACCGCATGATCAACGAAAAGATTGAGGAAATAATGAAAAAGTTTGCCAGGAATTCGAGAAATTTGCTTCATGTGGAGTACAATTTCGTTGATGAGGCATGTTATGTTCATTGACGGGAGGTTGCAATTCATCACCAAGAAAACGAACTCAACATATTCAATGTTATCATGCTTCAGCGCTCTATTCGCGTACATTGTGGGCTGCAGTGGCTCAAGGAACGAGATAGCCTGGAAACGGTATATGGCAGCATAGTGGAGGAGACAGAAACCGTTTTCCAAGTAATGGGAGGAATGAAGCTCGTAAAGCATGGAAATCAGCTGAGAATTTTGGGTAAAGCTCGCAATCTATCAAAAGCTGTTCTATCACGGTTATGTGAGCTTCACATGGCAGTGTGCCATCAAGGTTTTGAACACCTTTTGGCTAACAGCATACCAATAAGAATTTAGGTTGTGCGTTTCCCACTGCCGAAAAGCAAGGAATCGGTCATCGATAGACAAGATGCCGAGGTGGCCTTTTCGTCTGAACAAGAAATCGTACGCGTGGTTACAACACTACAAGAAACTCCGTACCTTGTATGTCATAGTAGGAAATTATCTGAAAGTTTGTTGTAACCGGGTTGATTGTTTTCAGTGTTATCCAGCAGCATGGCCTTGCTCAAATGAACGAGCAAGCAAGTCGATTCTTCTTGTTGTGGAGCGGTAGACCTGTGTCGTGTTCATCAGCCCCACATCTTCTTCGACGGTTCTTCATTACGATAAATTGCGAAGAAATGAAGATCACCTGTATTTCGGTAAGTGAGCAAGTGCAATTGGGTGGTTGTTCTCGATTGAGAATAACATTCCTACCAATCTGTAGGTAAGACACGCAATTTCTGGGAGGAACTACGACGAATCTTTGGATCATGATAGGGCAAGAGACCTGAAGTCAGTTGATCCCAACATTGCCGCGCTGCTAGGTTAGTCAACCTAGTGCATGCTTTCAAAATGACAAAAAACACATGTATAGCTTTCAAGGTCACTCAGGAGATGTCCAAGTGCGTCATTATGAAGACAACTGGGCAAAATCCGCTGTGAAGGGATACCGTATTGTAAAGATGTTGGCCGAAGAGACAGAAAGGACTATTCGGGGCCGATATAGCGGCGGCTGAAGGCGCGTAAAATTTGTGGGGTATGCTCAATCAATTAATTTCATATAACACTCTCCTCTCAGATGCGCGGTATCTCAGTTTTGCAGATTCTTCCAAGGTGGCTATGCAGTTGTCGGACGCGGAGGCAGAGGAGGATTGTGGAGAACGCGAACCCTATTCGGAGGACGAGGAAGATGCTGCTGTGGCATCCGATTCCAGTGGATACGTCCCCTCAAGGCCGACTCGTAGTTAGTATCAGTATTACAGTGATTTTTTCTACAATAGACACTGTACAGACTAACATCACATAGTTATATTCCTATTAAGAAGTGGCTGGTGGTAACATTATATAAGGGTCATAAAACAATGCACAGTTTCAGCAGAATTTTTGGGTGACAGCAGTGATGAGGACTCCAATCGAACCCCACCTCCCTCATAAACCACCAGTGGAAGTCCAAAAAAGCAAGTGGAATAAAGCGAAAAGGTTCTTGAAACGAGTAACGAAAAGGGCGGAAACGAGCGGGAACGAAGCCGGAACAAGCGGTCTACGTCAGCGTCAACATTCACTGCTTGGAAGACGAACAATTGTGTGCTCTGATGATGAACACGTCGATCCAGCCCCAGCCGTCACGCTCACCAGAAATAACGACAAAGATGCTGCCGAGTGCTCCGCCGCTAGAGCACGAATTCGAGTCTCCACGAGAACCAGCTCCTTCGATGGAGCAGAGGACACCGCCGAGAACGATACCGGTGTACAAGCTTCCAGTAAGCCGCTCTCATGATGATCACATTCATCCACTTCCATCATCGCACGCATCCGAGATGAGAACGAGGACGCTGCCTTGTGCTCCGCCGCTAGAACACGGTATACACATAAGTGAATATAAGGGTAAGCCAACGCTGATCACAACTATCATTCCAGGGAGCCCATTCGAATTCCTTGACGACGACGTTACCGAAGAGCACTCGTCGTCCGAGGTCTCCACTCATTGGCGACTCATTGCTCTCGACAGAGTGCACTGGCCAGCTATGAGGCGGAGACAAATGGTCGCTAGAGACGCTAACCTTGATAGGTCCAACCCTCCGATGACGGCTGAACGACTGCTATTATGGGTTGGTATTCAGTCGAAACTACTTCTTCAATTGGACACCACTCATGGACTGGACAGTTTCGCAGCATACAAAGCGAGCCGCATTGTTATGTGCCCTGAAAATGCACATGTGAGTCGATAAGCGATTATTTGGTTACTTCCGTTCATGCACCATCGTGCAAGCCTCCTTCCGATTTCAGAGATACGATCCCTCCAATGAGGTCATTCCATTCGACGCGGATAATCAGCTGAGTAAGCTGCTCATGGCAGCTTACGGAGATGCATATCATAGGAAGAGGAAAGCGTCGGTGGTGATTGTGCTGAAACCGGCAGTCGGTATCGCAGCAGTGGTACTTCTTGGTGAGGCCATCTCACCAAGTTCACCACAAAGGTATAGCTGTTGCGTGAGTTACAACGAGTCTGCACAGAGTTGCTATGCGGTGAGCACTATCCCCATAAATGCTTTATTGAGCAATCACACTTTCGAGGCTACATCGTTTCAGGTTCGCAAATGTCCGTTGAATACCGAAGGACCAACCCTAAGCGAAGAGTTTTGCAGAGCAGAGCTGCTGCATTTTAGGACCAAGAATCATGATATGTGGACGGACTTGTTGTACAAGAAGAACCTGGAGTTTTCGTATGTTCTCAACATCATGCGCCAGTATCACGCGCTCCAAAGTCTTTGTACGTTTCAAATTTAAATTTTTCTTTCAATTCTAATTTTTTTCTTCGTAACATATTAAAATAAATAAAATTTGTTCGTAAAATACTAAGCAAATATTGGTCATGAATTCATTTTTTTTTCTGTAAACTGTTGATATGAGTCAAGTGGTAAGTATTTTGTTGGTACAGTTTCACATTTTGGTTCCATGTTTTCGAAGATTGATTCATTTTTTATGGCTTAAGTATTTATTCCTATTCGTTTTTTTGTGTTTACATTATGTTTTCATGTTTTCAGGGACTAGAAATATGAAACAAAACATTAAAATAAGACATTCACTGAATGGTCTATGTGTGTATATCTGCATATTTGCTTGCGAATATATAAATATACACACAGACATGTACAACATAAATATAAATATATAACCATCATAAACAGAATTGTCACACGTCTATTGAGTCATGGTCATTTGAACTGTTTAAGAAAGAAGTTCACAAATGACGGTGCTCAGCGCTCGAATCCACGATGGGATACAAAAGCCGACCAACCACTGCTGAAGAAGCCACGAACGCGTTCTACAACGTATACGCAAATAATAACATAGAATAATACCGAAATAAATGATTTCGTGCAAAGCTGGGCATGCCTAAAATGTGTTCATACATTCATTGATATTTTTTTGATGATATGAATCCGAATTTCGTTTTATCACGAGTCCCACTGCTCGAAAGGTCAATATCGGAATCTAGTTTACAGCTACAGAATGCAGTCGGCTCACGTCTACAAAGTGTTGGCTATTTTGGTGCTTTTCTGCACCAAAGATACGAGTGGAGAATTCGGTGCGTACGCGCCAGAGTTCGTGCATATTCCTGCACAGATCAATGGAGCAATTCATGATGAATTGCTACGTAATGGTCTCTACGCAGAAATAATTGGCGAAGTTGCAGATCGAAAAGAAGCTTGTGGAATAGTGCTACTCGGTGAGCACTTTTGCACTCTTTCAACACATCACTATCACTTCTCTGGATCAACGTTCGATTAAACTACACAATTTTAACAGACTACACGGCTTATGTTGACGGGCATCTGTTCGAGGCGGCAATAAAACCACTTGAAGATTATATGCTGGCAGCAGATATGAGACCCACCACCGCCTTGAATAAAACTCTTCGATCGGAGGTTAGTCCCACGATTTGTGTGCTTACGCCACGGAATTTCATGAGAAATGTACAGGTGTATAAGACGATGAAGGCAACAGCATTGGCGGGGCACAAAAGTGAAATGAGAGCTCTTTTCGACATGCGCCGCAACTCCACCCCTTTATTCAGGTGAGCTAGATTCTATACACGTTGACTGCATTTTTCTGACGCGATTCCTCTGCGCAACTATGGGTATTCTCAGATCGATGGAACTGCAGTTCTTCCCCTACGCCGGAGTCGTGGCGCTCGGTATTGGAATGGGACTTGGTGGCTTGATATTCGAAGGACTTGAACATTTTTTGAAGGACAGTGAACTCAGCGACTACAAAGCGGTGAGTCGTCTTGCGAAATTCGTGCTCTACGTATGTTTCGCCTGAGACAACTTGTTCGAATCCACATTTCAGGAGACTAAGAAAAAAATGGTTGCTATCGGACATACGTTTTTGGACATGTTCAATGAGATGACTTTTGAAACGTCAAGGTATACTCCAGATGTTGATAGTTCACAGTTGTAACTGTTAGATGAGTTCATTTTTCCTACTGCAATTCCCACTTGCATGATTTTACAGTAACCACTTCCAATACACATTTGCATTGGTGCGATACCAAGTGTATAGGCAAGTGCGCGATACCCTCGACCAACTGTTCGGATTTGGCAGAGTGGCGGAAGAGCTATTGCACAGGTCAAGTAACCGCAGCCTGATGTCAGCAATTGAGCGACTCGTTGGCGCGCACTTCAACATTTCATTGCTGGCGTTGCACGGTATTGGCGCAAGGGATGCCTTGAAGGCTAATGTGATTGGGATGAATAGAGAAACAATGGAGATAAAGGTAATCGCATGATAATAGTTTTCGATGTAGATAGTGCTAATAATGTGGTCTCAGATTTGCTACCCGATGACCACGATTTTGGATGTTGACTACTTGGTTCGAGTGGAGCCGCTTGGGCAGTTCTTGCCAAACATGACGTCATATTGGATGCACGATGTCGGAGGACTGTACGCGATCGGAAAGGCGGAAAACCAGGAAATCAATTTGGCCACACTCAAGAGGGTGGAACACGAAAGTCTGTGTAGGCACTCGTCGTCAGTTATGCTGTGCAATCTGCGAGAACAAATGCCCGGATGTGGACTGCTCTCTGCAGATAGGCATAATTGTCGACTGGTCATGCACAATTCGACGGACAAGCATGTACGGGAGTTGTTGTATTAGGGGTACAGAACAATGAGGATATTACCATTACTCATCTATTACAATTACAGTTCACAATGGTGCGGCCGCTAGCACGTTCCGTGATAATAGCAACCAGGGCCACGCGAATTCGAGAGATGCCTCAGCAAACCATCGGCAAACCACGGCCAGCAAGGATTGTCACGAATCCGGTGTTTGCTGTCGAGGTTCCGAAAGGGAAGTGGTTATTGGTCGGAGACGAGCAGATCGACTCGCGTGTGGTCCAGGGCGTAATGGGCACAGATTTTAAAGTCATAGTACCGGTGAGTACCGTCGTCGGTTTTCAATATTCTCGATGTGAAATAATTGAGAGCAGCTAGCTGGAATCGTCAAATGTACCCCCTATTTCAAAGGACTATAACTTTCTTCATTGATAACCATTTCAGAAAGTGAAGGCAGCTTTTGAATGCACAAGACTTCTAGTTTCTAAATTGTGCTGAGCGTTTTTCTAAGCACGCCTATTCTCGAGAGTGGGAGACGTCGAGAAATTGTCGAGGAAATTGAAATTTACATGCGAGTTCCCACTCTTTGGAAGACAGTAGCTGTCTTCATTGGCAATGCTTTGAAAATCGGAGGAAAGCGTTGTAAAGTAGAAGATTTACGCTTTCTGATAGGTGCTCCAGTTGTTTCGAACGCTTTCTAGTTCGCGAGAAATCTGCGTCGAGGAAATGTCAAGGAAATTTTCGAAGCCACTCGAAAACTCTATTACTCCCTCGCCGTAGTAGGGAACTTCTTTGAACACCTTCAAAATACTTCTGTACACGTCAGTTCGATGGAGTAAATTGAAAATGATGCACTTGGCGCAGATCCATTCCGTTCTTGTATGCGCCATGCAGTGACCCCACTCGGAGTCATTGGGAAGGTGTTTTGTCCTAGTGACGACTTGCTTAAGCACACCAAAAGATATTTCCAGTATTAACTAATTAGGATAACTCTTGTGGTCATAGTGATGTCTGATCATTCCTTTATTCAAATCGCTTCCTTTCCAACCCGTTCTGATGAATGACACGCTTGCGGTTGCAGGATCTGATGATGCCAAGAAGGCTGCGAATCTGCCTGTTTTGAACTTTCTACCAAGATGCTGTTCCTCCACTAAGTTCTCGAAGCATGTACATCATTCTAGAGTAGATACTCGCTGCCCTTTCCCTACGATTCTTTTGCAGGACGCGTTGCCTTCCTATGCCATACTGATCACTACGAACCAAACCAACAACCACTTGTAAGATGTTATTAGGCTAAGTACAACACTTGTGAAACTAATGATGACAGCAAATAAGTGGCAGCAGCACCGTTGTGTCCGTTGATGAACCTTTTGATTACGACCCCCTCCCAACTCTCATCGGAGCAAATACGACCCCCTGTCGAGGATTTCCTCGACCGTTATTCACCCTGCATTGCAATCCGCTGACGCGACGGCTCCGCATAGCAACTATGATGTAGTAGGTCCGCGAACTCCTCCTGAGTTCCTTCGTGATGTCCCTCCACTTTTTCGAGGTTTCTCTTGACCGCTTTCCCTGAACCTCGTGTCGAGGCCTTTTTCATGGGTAATCCTGTTACTCTATGTCATTAGCACATGCCACACCATCGCCTGACTGTAAGAAATAAACAATCTTTGCCCTAAAACCTCTTCTGATTAGGTTTTGATTTCATAGCTGTCATGTGAGTATGCAAAGTGGCATCCACGTTTTTCGAAAGTATTCCGGTTCGCAAGAAATTGCTGTACCGGCAGTAACGCCCATAATGTCCTCCAAATCATATTAACAGCAAAAGGCCACTTGCGTAGTGGTCTGAACTAGAGCCTACAGGGGCAAATCTCCTTTCTTAAGATCAGTTTGTGTCAAGAATCTTGGGTACCCAACAGGAGGCCCGTCGCGCGGCAAGAAGGCAGAATTAGCGGACGAGTCACAGCGCGTGAGTGATGTAGGACGTACAATGGTACATTCTATTTAACTTGGCGAAATCACTACAGTACGCGCTGCGACTCGTCCGCTGACTCCGCCTTGTTGCCGCGCGACGGTCCTCCTGCCGGGTAACCAGAATCTTCTTCTTAGCGGTACTTAACAGTCTTACTCGAATGGATCCATACACTCAAGAAGAGACGACGGCAAACCTCCTCCGTTGGGGGTATAGAATGTTAACTAATCTAAGACTACTGAAGCAAAGCTGTCCGTCTGCGCTCGGGGCGTTGCCTCCATCGAACTGTCTTTTTGAAGAACATTTACCACCAGCATGACCAGCATTTTCACAATCGCAAGACGTATGAGAGCATCGAAAGATCTCATTCAAGCGTTGACTATTTAGGTTGTAATTATGGAAAAACAGTATTGGAAGCTACTTGACTTGCCAAATCAGGAAGGCGCCGAGGATTCGAATGAATACGTTGTGAGGTATGAAGACAAAAGCCATTGAATATTTGCAAATGTTGAAAGAAAATATACGAAGTTTTTTTTGTATGGCGAAAACTGCAGATCCGCGCAAGCTCTCAGCTTTGTAACGTTAAGGGAAAATTTGCTCAACATCAACTATCGTGGCTTCATGCTAGACCATGGGTTCTATCATCGACTTATTTTATTGAACACAAAAAGGTAGGCACTTCGCTTGAAATTTCCGAGTACCCACTAATTTAGATTAGATCAGCCTCCACGGTTGCTGAACCCTTACCAAGACCTAAGCATGGAATGAGTGAATGATTTCACTGTCTCTCCAAACGAACCGTTCTAATTATTTCATTTATAATGGTTTTTTCTTTCTTAGTTGGAGCAACTCCCTCCAAATCTGTTCCCTAGGTCAGGAATATGGGCCAGTTTTTCGTTCATATTCCTGTCTGTTTTTCCCTCAAGATTTCCTCAGAGGGTAGCTTCAGATTTATTTACTCTCATGACTTTTCTGAGAGTGACACCTTCGTCAAAGATCAGTTCTCTCGCAGATTTCCTTACAGGGTAGAGCGTATCGATTGCCGCAAAACCTGAAGAAACCTATAGGATTATCATTTAGAATTATACACCTTCTTGAGGAGACGTCACCATGTCCTCCTCCGTCCGGAGGAATTGGAGCGTTGCTTAGTTCAACAATGATGGGGCGGACCATGGAAACCCGAGTTGATCAAAGTCTTCACGACTCTATAAAAGGTATGACTAGGAAAATCGTCAAGGCAAGAGTTAAACTTTCCAAGGCTGATGTGGAGCTCAAAGAAAGACTTTGCAATAACTGAAATTGCAACTAGCATAAAAAAGCGACATTTTAAAACGGCGAGAGAAGCGGAAAGCAAAAATCAATTTCTGAGGATAGCTACAACAGTATTTCTTTGAGGGCCTTTGAGTTAGGTTTTGGAATACTATTTAGTGGCAAGGTTGATGGATGAAACAGAAATTGGGCCTATTCCAGTAAGCGGTGGGAGGCAGTGGTGCGATTTTTTCGCCAATGAGTGAGTTCAATTAATCGCACTGCATTTGTGGAATAATCGCGGGACGCCTGACTCATTCCGCTTTTACACCCACAGCGGCTTCACTACCTTGCCTCTCTTAGGGATTTTGATACTGTAGCGGTGTGAAATGTAGCACCAGCTCACTCCCTTGTCCCTCCACTACACCCTAGACCCTAACTTGTCTGAGAAAACAGCGAATATTAAGAACTTTTCTTTTTCAAGCTTATTTCCAGAAACTGGCCACTGAATCATCGTAAATCGTTCCGAAAATCCCCATCTCCCCTCCACTGCCTACACAACACCCCCAATTCTACCGTCGCATCCTCTTTGAAAGTCTCGGATACGGCTAACCACTTGTCACCATTATCACAGCACAGTAACTAAAACACGAGCCCCACCGCAACTTTTACCTAGTAAACCACAAGGAGGGCATCAGCGCTGCCATGTTGCTCACCGAATGCGCATCAAGTTCACATATGCCAGCAAAACATCCTTGCCAGAGTAAACTTGAGTTCCAATATTTGGAATTATATTTCGCATTTTTCAGGATCTACATGATAAGTACGACTCATCTCGACTTTATCCCATTGTTCCCCGATATCCTATTCTGAAGAAGATGATCAAGAGCGTGTTGAGAGCTCCTGAATTTGCTGATATTTGCCATGAGCAAACAGAAAGATCTGTCGCTGTACTCAATAAAAAAATAAAACTTTGAAAATTTCTGTCATAGAACAATGAAGAGGAAACCTTTGGCAGGAAACTCGGCACATAGAGCAAAAATGTTGTGTGAGGGCTTGGAACCTGATCCAGACCACGTTCATTATTGGAATTGTTGAGCAAAATATGCAGTTCAAGTCCTCGCAAGATGGCCTGAGGCCATAGTCAACCGTCATAGTCAACCGTTTGTTCGCACTATTCGTCAAACGTCGTGGTTTTACAGCTAAGCAAGGTATCATAGTGGGAAGAAGGCTAAAGGTTTGTCAAAGGTTGAGTTTTGACGGGGTCTCGACGAATCAATGAATGTTTTACGAAAGTAGGAAAATTTTGGCAAAATTGGTGGATGTATCGCTCCATGATGCCACCAATTTGCCCGCCTCCCTCCGTTCGACGATGCTTTTAGGACGTAAGCAAACCAGCCCTTTTGGCGCTTCGGCTGGGACCGTATGCTGAATGTTGGGGAGGGGATGGAGTCCCCGACGGTGGACGGACCACTTCAACTCGGTCCTTAGAACCGCCACAATTTGGTGCTTACCTCAGAACTAAGCCTTAAAGAGAGGACGGGTCCGTCCCCTCTCCAAGGCTTAGTCCTGGGGTGAGCAAACCAGCCCTTCTGGCGGAGCTGCTGGACCAGCTGCACCACTTGCGTCAGTACTCTCCTATCGTACCAACCGAGTTGAAGTAAACCGTCGACCGTTGGGGACCCCATCCCCTCCCCAACATTCAGCATACGGTCCCAGCCGAAAAGGCTGGTTTGCTTACTCTCTGTAGAGAGGTTGGAGTGAGGACAGAATGTGATGAGTTGGAATATGTCGACTGGTCTTATTAGAACAAATGATTTAGAAACAGCCATGATGATGAGGGTGGTGGTTGGAGAAGTGGGATCGTATTGGGGAGCCTTCTAAGACTGATGGTGGTGGTGATATCGCAGAATTTTCGAAAAAGGGCGAACGCGACGATGACCATGCCTGACACTCGAAATTTATACCTGGATCCTCATTTTGTGCAGTTCAGCTTCCCTACACATTTATTGGGTTGTCCTTAAAGGAATCTTCCACGGAAAGAGTGATCATTTTGTCTTGTGTGTAGGATTAGTATTATCGAAACTAACGCTTATGTTCCGTTCTTTTTGCTATGCTCATGAGGCTAGGGGCCTAAGGTATCGTTTTTCTGTGGTAATGGAGGCGGAGCTTTTTCCGCGGAAGATTCCTTTAATTCCTGACCGAATTTCGACACCTTCTCATCGAGTTTTATCTTTCTCAAAAACCAATTGATCAAAAATATACCATTATCATAATCACCGATATGCATCCATTCACCAGGGAACCTTTGGATGCTTTCCTCCTAGAATGGGTGAAGCTATGAGCTGAAGAATTCAGCAAGGTCGTTTTTGGAGTGGTTGTATTTCAGTGGACTTTCTCTCGCCGCTGCTGCTTCAAGGCACTGCAAAAGGATAGCCCGATGGAGTGATGCCAGGGCTATACGATGGACATGGTATCGTGGTCCAGCCAGTTTCCCTCAGAACGCAGCGAGTTACCTTTGCAATGTGAGGTCGTACGTCTATTCGGAAAAAGGGGAGCTTGGGACCAGGGTCAACCGTCCGTTCGAACTGTTCGAACGAAGGGGTCGCATTTTGGTCGGAAGGGGGTCGCAATTTCGAGGACTGCCAGCCACAGGCGCGTGCGTGGCGTATCCGAGGGCAAGACTTGCTTGTGCAGACCGCATTAGATTCGATTTATTATGCACAGAGAGACAGTTTTAGGCAAATTACGGTGTTTTCCTTGAGGAATAAAGAACAGTTGAATGCATCCCTATGAAAGGTTTGACTTCTCGGGGCTGAAATTAAAGTTCTTCGGGACCTAATTTTCTGAGGACGATTCTTCCAGACAACGGTAAAACACATAAGAAAGCAGAAATCTCGTAGTCTTCAAAAATGTCTTCGCCCCTCCCCAACAAGTTCTTTGAAGGAAGTTATTATTGCTGAAAGCTCAAAAACTCGCATGTGCTGCTCAAAAACCTATGGGAACAAAATGTTCGAACGTGTGATTTTCTCGGAAAATGAATTTTGAAAAACGGTTTGGTGCTTGTTAGAAAGAGCAAATCCTGTACTTTCACCCAAAAAAGTGCATCACAGAAATGAAAATGAAGTGAGTTATGGTCGCTGAAAGCCCAAAAACTCGCTTTTGCACGAAAAATGTTCGAACGGGACAATTTTTTGAAAAAGGGGACAATCACTAAACTTTTATACTGTTTTGTTAGAGAAATATTTGAAGTTTCTGAAACTTTTTACAGATTTCCAAAATGTCGCATACGAAAGATTTTATGGGCCTTCAAAGTTGAAGGTGCGCCTTCTTAGAATTTTGGGTTTTCCACTTCTAACAGAAGTACTTTCCGGAGAGTTAGGCAATCCTTGTAGTTTTCTGAAAGCGCACCTCAGGCAATCAAAATCTACCTCAACAAGTCAAAAAAAATACGTCCCAAGAAAGTTATTCCCCTCTAAAATTTTTTCTTCGCCGCGTCCCGTTCTTCCAGCGCCCGGGTGATACCTGCCGCGCTCCAAGGCTGACGCAATGCGACGCGACGCGCAGACGCTTTCTGGCGCAACGGATTCATGTCTAGCACTCTTATTAACAAAAACAGGGGGTCGCAACTGGACCCCCTCGAGAGCTAGGGGGTCGCAAAAATCCCGAAAATGTTCGAACGTGACGGTTGACCCTACTTGGGACTGCTGCGCCCAACCCCAGAAGCTGTTCCACGATGGCATTCGCAATACTTGTCCGCATATAGCAAAACGACTGTGAAAACGGATGACCCACTCAATCTAACAAATCAAAAGCAATATTCTCTGACCACGGAGTTTGGGCTTTTGTTGAGCTGGTGAGCCCTGGCTGCGAGGTAGCCATCAGGCGTGCTGCGTGTTGTTGTCGTAGTGAACTCATGACTCATCCCCACTAGTGATCAACTAGGGAACGCTCTGCTATTGAGGTCACAGAATTCCCCCAGAGGGTCAGACCAGCTTCTCGGTCATGGCTGGTCGGTGCATATGGTTTCTATCAAGTCTTCATTCTGCTGCTGCCCACTCCATCCTGATGGCGTGTGCTGGTGCATCGGCTGCGCCCAGGTGTCTGCTACAATACCCTGGTAGTAGCGTCCGTGTGCACTTCCAAGCCGTGGCGCAAGGGGTCCTCATCGAAAGTGAGTGGAGGCCCAGGATGAGGCTGATTTCACAGCTCGTATTGTCTTTGCCATTGCGACCGAACCACTAGCTCAGTGACCGATCAGTAGCAGAGACTGAGCCAAACACAGCGCTGATCTTCTCTAGTGTCCTCCTTGCAACAGCGTCTATTTGAGGATCATAAAGCATAATCGTTCGTTATTGTCACTGATCTATTTCGACTTCTACTCAGTTACTCCGATGCGGGTTTGACCTTCCAAAACGTCCTGGCTAACGGAGATGCACTCTTTGACATACCAACATATTTCGCAATGACACTAATTCGACTTGAAGAAATTTGAATTTGATCAAAAACGGACAGGAATTATGGGACAACCCAATACAATGAATCTTTTTGCGCGAGTTCCGCCCAACGAATATAAATGTGATCTAACGATGGAGAGACGGGTCGGCAATAAAACAACATTTTTTGCTTCGTTTTCTTACAAATTCATGTTTTCCGGTGTTACCTTCTCCTCTCCACCGAGCAATGACGAACTCGCTTCAAAATTGGTTTCCGCCGCAGGCTCTTGGGTTACCACCCCCTCCATAACAATGTATTGGGGTGATGCACAATTATTGCTTGGTTTTTTTTTCAATAAAAATTGACCTCTCGTTCATTATTTCTTATGGAAGTAATCTTCTCTTTTTCATGAAGAAATTGCGTATCGGAAACCATACCCCTATTCCCCACATTATATTCTAGCACTTCGAGGAAGATTAGTAGGCGGCAGAGTCATTTCGCGATCTCAACAAGCTTTTGCCGAGGAACAATCAGCAAAAGCCAAGTTGAAAGGATGGAATCTGCTCCCACATCCGCCATATTAGCGACCAAAGCTCCTACGGACTACCCCGTCAATCGAAATTGAAAAACTATCAAACGAACAAAATTTACTAGAATTTGGATGACTTAGTGGCCTATGTTGAAGCGTTAATTGCTTCCAAGAGTTCTTCGCCCGTGGAATCAACTGATGCTAACGATAAGCAAATAAGAAGCAGTTCTTGAAGCGGATGGTGGATGCGCTCCAGAAGGATCACTTAAACATGTTTCCGTTGAATTTTCATCGTTTTTGCTGAATACAATTTGTCGAATACCACCCACTCGTTCGGGCTGTCTTAGTGGACGGCTTAAACTGGCCCAAGCCATGGTAACCATATAGTGGATCATACGTGGCCAATTTATCATCTACTCACAACAATTCTACGTACAAAATCCTCACTTCATAAATAGCGGCTTAAGAGCCAGGGCCAAGCTTATGTCCGAAATGGACATACGTACCCTTTAGCTGCCAAATACGAAAAAGTACTGTGGTAGAATAAAGTATTCACACTGACCAGCTTCTTTGAGTTTTGAGCGATGCTTTTGGAGAACTGTTGCTTTGACGATTCCTTTACTAATGCAACGAAAAGAAAAGGCAACTCAATTAGCGACTGAGGTGTGAATGACCGTTTTTTGGATATTACCTGACAGTATGCACACACAGAGAAGAGAGAACGGCCAAGATGGGAACAGGTCAGTAGCAGCACCATGGGCAATGTCCTCAAACAGGGGCAGGCGATAACGCAAATAAGGTTATTTGCCGCGACAGAGTTTCTTTTACACGATTGTTTTCCTAAACAAGTCAATTTTGAGCTGGAGCTCAAGTGATCTCCTGTAGCCAAATTTGTTCTGATTTGAAGGTTTTTGGAAAAAGAATTTCTGCATCATTTCCCTTTCAAGGGAACTCTCTTAATTTCAATGCTTAGAAATAAATCTCTTCTCATAATTTCACAGCATCCCTACG